CTGAAAGAAGGAGGGACTAAACCTGTGGCGAGGAGGCGGGGCCTGAAAGTGGGAGGGACTCAACCTGCGAGGAGGCGGGGCCTGAAAGTGGGAGGGACTAAACCTGTGAGGAGGCCTGTGGCCGTTCTGGAGCCTTTGATACGAATAATGAAAACATTGGAGGCTTTAACGGGTCCAGAACACGTCCAGCTGCTGAACTGGACCCCAGACCCATTAACTGTTAACCTCTCTGGCTCCCCCTGCTGGCCACACCTCCCATTGAGTTTTAATTGAAGTCGATCATTGCCTTTTCTGCTTTGAGAAAAGATTTGCAGGTGAAATTATGAAACGTTAAAAAGCTGCTTTAAGCATAAAGAGTAAATAACCCATTTTCGTATATCTAAATATTCAGAACCAGAACTAATAAGGAAAATAAAAAAAAGAGTTAGTTAAAACTCTCTCCCCTTATTCAAAGCCAGACTCAAAACCCATCTGTTCCAGCTCGCTTATCTGTGAATACACTGCTCTTTTCCCTATCCATGATTGTTCTTTTGTTTTTTTCCCTATCCATGATTGTTCTTTTGTTTTTTATGTTCCTGTATCTGTATTTTGTATTTTCATCTCTTTTTATTTATTTTTTGTATTATTTGTAAAGTGACCTTGAGTGTCAAGAAAGGCGCTGTTAAATAAAATGTATTATTATTATTATTATTAAAACTAAGAGGCTTTTGAACCTGGTGTCGACGGATGGCTAATAGAGCTGCATCAAGGCCTATTTTGACTACAGGTTTTCCTTCCACTCAACTTTCCTGATTTGCTGCAGCCTGTGGACAGCCAGCTTCTTTAGCAATGAGCTCAGATGGGTTTGTCTCCTTGGACCTTCAGCATCTGGACCAGGGCCTCCAGATGAGACTAACAGTACCTGATGAATGTGTCCAGCTATGTCCTTGTTCTTGATGATGACCAGCAGACCGTGTTCTGTGTTGTCCTGGTGCAGGAAGTCCACCGGGCTCTGATGGACGTTCCCCAGGTTTAACAGATGCTCCTGCAGATCAAACAAACATCTCAGAGTCACCGTGCCGCCGTCTGACTCGCCACGACTAGGAGGCACAGTGACGTTCCTCACCTGGACCTCCTCGTACACCGGGTCTCCTGGTTCTGTGCAGTGGACGTAGAACTGCGGCGACTTCTTCTTGATGTCTTTGATGATCTCCGCCAGGTTGTTCAACACGTTGGGCTCCAGCTGGTCGATCACGGAGTTTATGTGGGTGGTTGATGGGACGGCCGCAGAGTTCGCACCGGGGGCGGGGTCGAAGGTTTCAGAACCAAAGCTCTGGACCGGGACCGTTCCAGTGCAGCTCAGCACCGCCTGACCTCCTTCACCTTCTAAAGGAGCCGTGCAGAGCGCAGTCCTCTCAGCGGCGGCGTCCTGAGTATGTGTGACGCCTGCCGTCAACTGGTTCCTCCAGTGGGTAGAGTTAGCTCCCCAGTCCGCCTCCGCTGTGGACGGTGGCGGACCTTCAGCCAGCAGCGCTTCGGCAGCCGTCCGCTGGCTGCAGAGAGGCGAGGTGTCGTCAGCTCCACCCGATGACCCCTGACCTGCTCTGACGCTGGCCACAAAGTCGCTGACGGTGTTGGCCAACGAGGAGTCAACAGGAGTCCGACCGCCAGCCGTTGGCCTCGACCAGCTCGTGTCCAACTGGGCCAGCAGGCGGGCGATGCCGTCACTCAGCGAGCTGACGTAGTCGCTGACAGGGGGGTAGTGGTTGTAAAAAGACACGTAGGGTGAAAACTGAGGCAGCGCCGCGTACGGGAGCACGCTGCGGTCAGCCTGCGTGGTCAGAGCGCAGTGTGAGAGCTGAGGGAAGCTGTAGTTCACACCTTCATCCTGCAGGAGGAGCTGCAGGTCAGAGGAAAAGGCCTCGAGGTTTTTGTCCACAACGCTGTCGACATCTCTGCTGGGACAGGCAGCTCTGGAGGAGGACGGCTCGTCCACCTGCTCACCGGCTGTCTCCATTTCTTCCACTGACTTCCTGTCTCCTTTCTGCTGCTTCTCCCCAGAACTCATCCGTTCAACCTTCAGTCCCTCCATCTTTGCTTCTCGCTCCGTCTCCTCACAGTGAGGGAGTGAAGACTTTAGAGCCGGAGCTGGAGGGGGGGCTCTTGGGGTTTCTTGGGTCGTCATCTCCGTCCTCTGAAGGCTGGTTTCCTTCTCTCCGGACTCCCCTGAAAGCAACAGATCATGTTTTAGATTAGATTAGATTAAACTTTATTGTCATTGCACAGGTACAAGGCAACTAAATGCAGTTCAGGTCTGACCATAAGTGCAATAGCAGCAAATGCAGGATAAATAATGGTTCCATAAATACAGGACGTGGTTTCTACTGAATGAGTATAGAGATGGCCACTGAGGAAGAACAGCAGAGGATCTGCCTGCTGCGGATCTATGGCGCCTGATTTTCCTTTCATCCTGTGATGCATCAATAAGGAAAAGTTTAGGCAGCGTGAACACCTATAGATCACACTCGGTGCAAAGGGAGGGGTGGAACTCGACCAAAACGGACCGGACCAAACCTTTAATCATGTGGGCCAAAAACGTCTCCATGAAAATTAACAAAAATAACTTCAACCTGCCTTTCTATGGCTTATTTAGTGATCAAATAAATAAGGAGGTCAGAGTTTCAGGGTTTAAAGGAAAAGTCCGCTCATATTCACAATTCAATCTTCTGAAAGTTCGTTAAAAATGAAATTATTCCATCCAAGTTGGGTTTTTTTTGGTTTCAGTTTGAATTGAGCTATAGAAATAAACTGAATAGAATAGAATTGAATGTTTAATATATAGAGCTAAATCCGAGTTTGAAAGTCTGCTAAAAAAAAAAAAAAAAAAGAGAATGGAAAACTATGGAAGAAGATTAGGGCCACGGAAAAAAATAAAACATTATTAACTGATTTTTATAATTTATTTCAGTTTAATAAGGTAAAAAAGTCAGAATTCTGAGTTTTTTCCCATATCAAAAGATTAAACTGAAATAAAATTTTAAAATCAGTTAATTTTTTTTTTTCAATCGCCCTATTCCTCCTCCGTAGAAAACAGTTAAAACTGAAAATAAAAATTGAAACTGGAAATAAAAAAAAAATAAAAAAACGAGTATTTTTGACACTGATGAAAATAAAACTTTGAAACTGTCAATCAAAAAAGTTTTTGAAATGAAAACAGCGGCACTGAGTGGATGTTCAGACGGCCCCAAAAAAGGCAACAGGAGGAACTATTTTTTCCAAACATCTAAGCCGCCACACTTTATTTCACACCACATCTAAGGCCCGCCCCCCTCACTGAGAGAACAGCCCTTTGAAACAAAAACAAAAAAATATCTAAAACTTTTAAAAAAAAAATTTGAATCTTCAAATTTTTAAAGATCTATTTTCATTTTAAATCGTTTGTCCTTCGTTACAAATGACTGTTTTTCAGTAAAAAAAAACCCAAACTTTATGGCCCCAATGTAGTTCCATAGAATAGAACATACGGTACCTACAAGTCCGATAACATCACTGCGAGCTCCTGCATCAGTTTTCTTTTAAGGTCGTACCACAGATTAAACGCCTCGAACAAATTGATCAACTGAGTTTTTGTCTCAATCTGAATCTCATTTTCTCTTTCTTTTCTCTCCAAAGGATTCCTCACCCTTTATTTTGTCGGCTGCTGCGTCTCATAAACCCCCAAAGTCCAGAAATATTCTCTGGTCAGCCTGTTTGCTTATTTAAGGCATCCTTAGTCGTTTTGTATACACAGAGTGTTTACAAAATGAATCTATAGAGCTTTTCCACAGTGAACAAAATGAACATTTCCTTGTATAAAGTGCAGCAGTGATCAAAATGTAAACAGTGTAGGAGAGACATGGTGCATTGATGTGGAGGTTTCTAAGCAGTGCAAACAATAAATACATTAATATGGTGCAAAAAGCAGTAGAATGGAATTTGCCATGTAGGGCCAGTATGAAGCCGTCTGGGTTTCTGTGATGATGATGATTTGCCTTTTTTTATGTTTCCAGTCTAAAACTGTGTTTTCTCCGATTTATTGTTTGGTAGAAATTCATCAAACAGCAGATTTTGATGAAACCACTGGATTCATGTTCTCTGTTTAATATGCGGTCAATTAAAGAGGAAAGTGCTGCACCTCACATGATCAGGTGATACTTTCCTTCATTGTCATGGCGCCTGCTTTATGACAGAATAGATTTAGTTCAGTTATACAGAGTAAACAGCTAGTTTTCTGGAAGTCTGAATAAAGTCTAACATGGTTAGACTGATTAGCAGCTGAGACCTTCTCATTTTACACGCTGTTACCTGGAACCTCCTGGGGGGCAAGCTGCTGCTCGTTAGCTGGCTCACCATCATTAGCCACAGACCGACACTGGGAGGGGGGCTGAGGCGGCTGAGTCTCAGGTGGCGCAGACTGGGCGGGAGAAGTGGGGGGGCTGGATTGGGGAGAGGGGCAGTGAAAAGGAGACGAAGGCGGGCTGGGCTCCGGGGACGGGCACTGAGACGGTGACGGCGGCAGACTGAGCTCAGGGGAGGGGCACTGAGAGGGCGAGTTTGGCGGGCTGGGGATGGGCGAGGAGCACTGAAAGGGGGAGGGAGGGGGGCTGGCTTCTGGGGACGGGTACGGCAGAGGGGGGCTTTGCTCGGGAGACAAGGCGGGGCTCCTCCTGGGCGATTTGGTTGCCATGGTGATGCCCGCGGTGGAGTCGAGCTGCTGGAAGCGAGGGTCCTGTGGGATGTTGGCGTCCCGCAGCGAGTACCTCTCTGAGCAAAGACCTGTGGCGAGACAGAAACTCCTTAGATCCAAACTACAGCAAAACCCCAGAAGAAGAAACAGCAACCACTCTGCATCCAAACCCCAGAAGAAGAAACAGCAACCACTCTGCATCCAAACCAGATTATTTTTACTCAAGCAAGATTTAAAACCTGACGCGCATCTTTATATTTTGCCTCCTTTCCAGAAGTTGCTTGGATTTCTGAACAAAGCGCTTCCTGCAGCCTGACCCCGCCCTCATCCCCACTGACGGTTTCTGCACTGATGCGTCTGACAGGACAGTTAATGAGTTGTCATTTTATTGCTGGATGCTTCCATTACATTAATATTATAATTAAGATGTAAAAGTTGAAGAAACTTTTACGCCCTGCAACATCTGCTGTATGAACTGAACTGACCATGGTCCTATTCCCCTCCCCAGGGGACGGCTCCATGGCCATGTGCATGTCTGTACCTGCTAACACACATATACCTGCATCTATGTGGGACACCTGGGGAATAAGGTATGGCTGATTCTAGATTGGGGAGGTTCCAGCTCCAGACGTACCTCCTAGAAGCGAAGTCCTGATGCGATATGGATATCGGCATGCATCTAAAATCTGTCTGATGAACCTTCTGATGAAAAATAACCCTAAGCTAAGCTACAGAACCACTGTTCTTTAAGTATCACTTTAATGAGAAGCAGAGGTGATCAGGGCAGCGCCAATTAGAGGGCGGATCGATACTATCGATACCAACACTGTTTCTGATATTGAGCAACAGTCATTTAACAAGATCAGTACTTTTTACTCCCTCCCACACGCACTAACTGCAGCAGATTCACCAGTCTCCCCATCTGTGTTACAGCACTTTGCTGTTCCCCCCTCCCCTTTCATCACCGGCTCAGCAGACGCAGTCAGGCCCCGCCCACTCAGCTCTCTCTCCACTCTCCACACAGTGATCACCTTCATATTAACTTTCAAAGTAGATATTATATGTTAGCGGAGCCCACTCATAAAGCTAAATTACTATAACCAACCAGAGGGTGTCGCAATTTAGTATTATCAGCCGTAGAGTTATCAATGCTGTTTTAAGGTCTGGGCCTGGCAATGAATTAAAACTTCGTTTTTTTTTTTTTTTGGAACGTTGGCGAGGCGGTAGCGTGAGTTTGGCGAGGCGGCCGCCTCGCCAAGATAGTGCTGCGGGAAACACTGCAATACTAACATTACATTATCACACCGTACTCTCAGTCACTCAGTAACTTAGCCTGTGAATTCCTAGCTAGCAGTTACTAGCGTAAACAAATAGGCGCTAACGTTAACATGAACTAGGCTACTTCAGTTAGCTTACCGTATTTTCACGACTATAAGGCGCACTTAAACGTCTTTTTTTTCCCTCAAAATGTGCGGTGCGCCCTT